GGGGGAGAGGGGCCTTAAGGAGGGAGCCGGACGGGAAGGCTGAGAATCACTTTATTGCACGCGTTTTGGGTCGGGGGGAGTCCCGAGAGGGAACACACAGCAGGCTCCGTCCGGGTGAGAGGCTCAGGGGGGCATGATTCCTGGGCCTGGGGGAGGCTCGGGTGGTGGCTGCAGCTGCTGCCTCTGCTGTTGCTGCTGCCGGAGCCTGGCTCTGTTGGCCCTGCAGGAGAGAGCACCAGGGCGGTTGGCACAGGGATCCTAGAGGGTGGTCCAGGGCAGTGAAGAGAGGGCAGGGTAGAGCAGGGACAGACCTGGCTCGGGCCCGAGTGTCATTGTAGATGGTTGTGATGATCCGATCCTTTTCATCCATGAAGCTACGGTGCATCTGCTCCAGCTTCCTGCAAGGGGGTTACAATGAACTCTGGGTCCCCCAAACCCTCCTGTCCCCCACTCTAGGGTGTCAGTGCTTTCTATCTGTGGGAACCTCAGCCTAACTGCCTGTGCTAGGTGAGGAGAGCAGTACAGAGTAGCCAGGCTTGTCCAGGGTCCAGTGGCGACCCAGGTCCCTGGCTACCGGGCGGAAGGTGGTGACCGCAGCACTGAACGTCAGGGTGGTCCTCCAAGAGCTTGGAAAGGGCTGTATGTCTAAGGCCATCACTGAGCTAGGCCGGCTGTCAGTGGGCGCTGCCTCTGTGACCAGTGCTGCAGAACCTGTGTCACGGCAGGCATGAGAGAGGCGGGGAGACAGCTGACTGCCAAACAAGTGAGGAGAGCCGCTGGTGAGGCAGTTACAGTGCATTTCTTTCTTGTGCATGATTTTGGTTGGCTCCACCACTCCCTGGTAGTCGGCACCAAAGATTTACATGCAAATTATAAAAAACAAAATAAACTGAAAATGACGTGAGCCCTTAGTGAAGAGCTGCCTTTGCTAAGGAAAAAGAGGCTCCGGAGACCTACTTCATACAGTTCTTAGCTTGAGAGACACAAGAGAGGTGTGGGCGGCTGACCCTCTGCCCACCCCTCCGGGAAAGGCGCGAGCACCTGAAGGCAACATAGTGCAGGCCCATGCCTGCCAGCATGATCAGGAGGCAGTACCCCAGCACCCGCTGGTTGTGTCTATACTGCTGCCGCCTCGACTCTGGTCTCTGAGGCCTCACACCGTGAAACTGGGCCCAGTATTGTGCATTGGGGGGTTCCCAGGAGCTGCTGCGAAGGAGAAAAAGAGACAGTGTGGGGAAGAGGCTCCCCAGGAGATTTGGAGGAGAAGAAGCAAATTGCAAAATATTGTACCTATGTGCCTGATGAGCAGACCTGGGAGGGTTGGCGGCTCCTGGAGGCTTTGGGGGAGTTGCTGAGCGGAGCTGTTGGTCGTAGTTCCGGCGGCTCTGCTCCCGGCTGAGTACTTGGTATGCTTCACTCAGCTCCACAAAGCGGCTGTGCAGGGCTGGGTTCCCGGGGTCCCGGTCAGGGTGCAGCTGAGGTGAAGCAGGACTCCCCTCATCTCCCTTCCCATGTTCCTCCCCAGGACCCATCTCGATAACATCCACCCACAAGGGCTCAAATCATTCCCAGAGGCCCTGTCTGGACAGTGACCTTAGCTCGCAGGCCCTCAGGCTGGCCACCCCATCAGAAAGCCCGGGTCAGGAAGCACTCCGCCTCCCTCCCCACCTGCTGCCTACCTCGCACTAGATGCCCTGGCCCAGGTTTTTGCAGAGCAGGCAGGTCAAGAAAAACAAGCCCAGCTCATCAGACAGGACCCCTGGCTTTCCTCACACCCTGCCCGACCTCTGGCACTTCCCCCTCCCTATGCACGCTGAGGGAAGGTGGTGCCAGCCAGAGCGAGCCCCTCAGCTCCATTCCTGAGAATGTGAAGTGTGCCCCATCTGGCTCAGAATTCCCCTCCCACCTCCCTGCCTCGGACCACTGGTACCTCTTTGGACTTGGAGAAGAAAGCTCGTTTAACTTCTTCGGTGCTGGCACCAGGATGTACCCCCAGCAGCTCATAGTAGTTTCTGGGACCAGACCTGTGGAGAGAGGCCACAACCTGTAGGGGCTAAGGCAACACAGAAGATACCTCTTCCTTACCCATCCCAGCCCCGCAGGGCACACCCTTCAACTCAGCAACCAGGAGCTGAGGGGCTGAAGCAGGTGCCGAGGGGGACCCATCTCCCACCCAAGTACTAACCAGGCCCAACCCTGCTTAGCTTCCGAGATCAGGCTCGATCAGGGTGGTATGGCCGGAGAGGGGAGACCTATCTCCAAACAACCCCTCCTGTCCAGTGTTTGGGGGATGGTGCAGATCAGACCAGAGTGCCTCAACATGTGGTCCTCAGGCTCCTTGTGTCAGAAACTCCCGAAATGCTTGTTTAAAAAAAGGTTCCTGAGCCTATCTCATTCCAGAGCAGGACCCAGGAATCTTCATTTTTTGTTTCCAAAAACCCACTCCCCGGCGGGTTGGAATCAGCGATGCTCCACACCCACAGGGGTTGTGGAAAGAGCATTGGGTTTGGCTTGGGCCCAAACGGCCAGCAGCGTAATGCGCTGCACCACCTGGGCGGGCGTCCCTTCATCTAATGATGGTTCTCAACCTTCTGGCCCTTTAAATACAGTTCCTCATGTTGTGACCCAACCATAAAATTATTTTCGTTGCTACTTCGTAACTGTAATGTTGCTACTGTTATGAATCGTAATGTAAATATCTGATATGCAGGATGGTCTTAGGCGACCCCTGTGAAAGGGTCTTTCGACCGCCAAAGGGGTCGCGACCCACAGGTTGAGAACCGCTGATTCTCAACCAGCGGTGGTGCCCACGACAGGGAAGGTGCGGGTCCCCAAGATGAGGCTGGGAGGCACCTGACGATCCTAAGGATCTCAGCACCTGGGGCCTCAACAAACACCCCCGGAACCTCGGGAAGGCACCGGCCCCCGGCGACCGACTCACCGCTGCCGGGCGGCCTCTGCGAACAGCCGGGTGGGAGGGCTGCGGGGCCACAGCCGACAAAGGCACGGGGGCAGCAGGGGCAGCATGGCGGCGGGAGGACAGCTGGTGGAAGGAGGCCACAAGGAGAGTGCATGGGGATCTGACTGCGAGCACCCCGGGGGCGGGGGGACGGGGCCCGGCCCCCATCACCGGCGAAGGAAAGCTGGAGCAGGCCCGGAGGACCCAGGCGCAGGTGGGGCCTCCTTGCCCCAGCCCAGACCCCAGCACCCGGGACCTGTCCTGCCCAGGCCCCGGCCCTTCCCCACCCTGGGCCCAGCCCCGCCTCCGCTGTACTCACGGCCGCGGCCATTTTCTGCGCCGACTTAGGCCCCACCCCACGCCCTCATTGGCTTAGACGCCCAGGCCACGCCCACCACGCCGGAAGGGCGATGGGGCCCTGCCCCCCGTAACCCATTGGCCTGTGACGCCTCGGGCCCGCCCCCGGAGGGCGGAGCCTGGGTCGCGCTTAGAGGTGCGGGTATCGACCCGGAAGCGGGCGACACGGAGCTGACACTCAGGGAGGCTCTCGGCCCAGCTGTCGTCGCACGAACATGGCTGTCACGCCGCTTTGCAGGGAAGCACTTTTCACAGAGCAGTTTCCATCCCATAGTCGAGCCGGACCCTCGGCCCTCAACCCAGCTGGCAGAGGGCAGAACTGAAGCTGGGCTTTCTTTTTTCCACGTCACTAGTCCTGTCTCCCACCCACCCAGGCTCCCCCAGCGGCCCCTCTCCGCCTCGTGGAAACAGCATATGTCAACGGAATCCAAGAATAAAGTCCTTTATTGTCCTTGGAGCTAGCTGTGGGGGTAGGGCTGCGGACCCGAGGGCGACTCAGGTGGGGCGCCCCTGGCCCCGGTTGTAGAGGAAGATGGCGCCTTTGGCGGAGGGGCAGAGCTCGGCCCACATTTCAGTCTCCTGCAGCCTCCTCACCCTCTGTGGGGAGACAGATGCAGACGTCTAGCTGTCAGGGCTCTTGCAGGAGCTGTGCCCAGAGCCCCTGAGCCTCAGAGCCCTCTGCACCGTACAGCCCCCATTGAGACATGTGAAGAGGCCGAACAGGTCCCTGGCCCCCTCCCGTGGGCTTCGGGCATCCCCATGAGGCCTGTGGCTCTGGAGAAAAGCTCTGAGATTTGGGAGCCCCGTCTGACCTCCCCCTGCCCCCACAGACATGCATCCCCAGGCCTCTGCAAGTCCCAACCCCAGCTCCTAGGCCAAGCCAGACGTTGCCACCTCGCACCTGTGTCTCCACAAAGATAATGCCCGTGGACTCGTGGGCCTCCGGCCCCCCACTCGTGTAGTGCTTCCTCACCTGCTCAGAAGTCAGGCTGCACCTGGGTAAGACATGGGAATGGCCTGCTGGGTGCCCAGTCCCAGGAGGGTCCCTGTGGAGCCCCCGCTGCCTCAGCCATGCCCCTCAACCCACACCACCTACCCCAGGACCCAGGACCCTGTTCCCCAGAGCTCACTCACTGGACGTAGAACTCGGCACTGGCACGGCCCGCACTGGTCTCATTGCGTGCGATGCCCAGTAACAGCGGTTGGCTCAGGGTGAGCAGTGGCAGGTTCACCTGGGGCCAGGGTCCCAGCTGTCAGTGCTCACTGCCCACAGCCCTGCCCGTCTCCGTGGAGACATGCATGCATTACCCTTGTGTAGCGTTTTACAGATTGGGAAAACCAGACCAGAGATTAAATAATTTGCCCAGAGTCCCCAAGGAAACCGATCAATCAGCTTCCAGTTACTTCTCTTTTCAGCAAACCTGGGTGGCGTAGGCAAGACATTTATTGTGTTCCCATGGTAAAGAGAAAGAACTTGAGGGGCACAGAAATGAGGGCTAGGATTCCACTCCAGCGCGCCCAACTGCAGAGCCAACTTCTTCCCTCAACGTCTCATGCCTGCAGACCCTCCCACCAGCCCAGATCCAGGTTGATTCTGGCATGTTCTACCACCTCCCTCCCAGCCCCCCACCCTGTCCTGGCCACCCTCACTCACCTCATCACTTATCTCCTGGAGGACACTGGAGAAGAGCTCACGCACCACCAGCTCCCCCGGGAGGTCCTTGTGCAGGGGGCTGTCGCCAGGGCACAGGGCCTGGGAGAGATGAGGCTCAGCTCCTGCCCCCAGATCTTCCAGCCCTGCCTCCCCGGACACTCCCGGCCCCGAGGGCCTGTCTGTGTGCAGTGTAAGAGTGCTGGTGGCCCCTGACCCAGGCCCTCCTTTTCCAGGTGGGCAACCAGAGTCCTGCTGGGTCCTAGCCCCCATCCCCTCGCTCCTCACAGATCTGGGGAAGGGTCCGTGAGGAGGCTGAAGGGTGGCCTTGAGCAGAGACCTTCACAAGTACCAGGCCAACTCCTCCTCTGAGGGATGAGGAAACAACGCTGAGCTGTCTGGGTCTTGGTGCCTTTGCACCCAGCCGCCATGGCGTCTCACCTGAGGCTCAGGGTGCCCACCGGGCACGTCCACCAGCCCAGGGGCTTCAGCCACCCGCTGAGAGCGGCGCAGGAAGACGAGAAAGTCATCGGCGGTGGCCAGGGCGGCACCCACCCCCAGGGGGTCTGCCAGGTAGGCTTGCTTGTTACCCCAGTCCGCAGCCCCCTGCTGCCGCAGCCAGGCAGCTGAGCTGGCCCAGTTGGTGCCCAGGAAGTCTCGGTAGGAAGTCAGGCCCAGGTGCAGGAGCAGCTGTGGCCCCTGCGAGCCAGCGGGCGCCAGGGACGCAGAGTGCAGGCGGAACTTGGGAGCATCAAACAGCCAGGGCTGGGCCTGGAGCCGGCTCTCCCAGGCAGCAGCGATGGCTCTGTCCCCTCCTGGCAGTGGGCGACGGTCGTAGGCCGGGCTCAGCTCAGCCCGAACTTGATCCTCGGGCAGCCCGCCCGGGGGGCACTGCAGCAGCAGAGACACCTCGGGGTCCATGGTCTGGACAGGGCAGCTCTGGGTAAGGTCACAGTTTGCACCCCCCTGGGCAGTAAAGTGTCTTATCATCCAGCAGGCGCCCGAGACTCCAGCTGCCAGACGTCCCAGGGACTCCCGGGCACCCCTACCACCCGAGGCCCTGGGTCCAGTCCCCCCTAATGCCCACGTCTCCCAAACCCAGGGGTCAGGGACCCCTCACAGGGTACAGGAAGCTCCAGCCTCCAGCGGGAACTCACCGCCACTTCGGCCCGCAGTCCCCGCCCCTTTCCCCGAGCGGAAGTGCCCGCCCCTCCTGCTGGCTTCTCACATTGGCCAGCTTCGGGGAGCCCGGGGGGGGGCC